CTTACATACATACTGAGGTTTGTCATTTTGAGTCAATTCAGATTTCATCTGATGCTTTCTTTTACCCTACATGGTGAAACAATTTCAGTTAGTCAAAAATGAAATGGTGTCGGGCGATATAACTGTTTTTAGAGCCGAGTGTTTGAAGCTGTCACATTCTTTAAATTTTATCATAATTATTACCCCCGCACGCATACKGTTTGTTTATTTACTTTTTCAAGGTTTTTGGTCAACCGTAGCACAGATCAACGTGATATTTGGCAGGAATAAAGATGTCTGACTACACTGCGCCAGCCAACGGATTTACACTAGACCCCATATTTGAAAATGGGCTCCATCTGAAAAGGGGGTGTCTGGACATACAAATATACATACAACTCAAAAACTATTCAACATAAGAGCTTCAGATTTTTTTTTTCCCCCAATGTTTAGCTCTGATGCGGGGCTATCCATCGTGCCCACCAATGAACCCCTCGAACTCCCACAATAAATTTTTGGGATGCACCTATTGTATATGTATTCAACCTACACTGCGCCAGCCAATGGTTCTATGATAGACCCCATATTTGAGGAGGGGTCTCAATCTAAAAGTGGGGGTGTATTTAGTTTTGATAATTTTTCAACTGAACTGATCAGGTCAGTACTGAGAACAAACTCGCACCAATAATTTAAAAGTAAATGTCATTTTTCTGTGTTTCTTCCAGACGTGTGATGGAGCTCCTTGTTCAGAACTGGAGTTTGTCAGCGAAGCTCCGTATGCCGGCCATCAGCCGCCTGCAGAAGGTGCACAACGTCGACGTCGCTTTGCAGGCGCTTAAAGACAAAGGGATAGAGCTGAAGGACGAACACGGTAACACCTCCATCTTTTGGCTTTTCACACACCAAGAAACCAAAACCTTATCTGTATGTAATTATCTACCATTGTATACTAAACGTATTCATTCTTTGTGTTTATTTTTAGGTAACATCATAGACTCCAGAGATATTGTGGATGGACACAGAGAGAAAACTCTGAGCCTCCTGTGGAAAATCCTYTTTGCTTTTCATGTGTGTATTAGTTTGTTTGATGTTAAACCATGCTATAATGGCTCTCTGGCTAACCAAACAAAAACTTTAAACATATTTTGCTTCCCAATACATGAAGGTAGAGGTGATTCTGAACGAGGATGAGCTCAGAGAGGAAATCGTCTTCCTGAAGAGAACGCTGAAGATTAAACGGAGGCTGGCCTCTCTGAGGGCGGACTGTGGTGTTCCTTTGAGTCCTGCAGAGACCAGGAGGCCGTATGAACACACGAGCACAAAGATCACTCTGCTGATGGACTGGGTCTGCGCTGTGTGTGACTTCTACAACCTGAAGGTGAATCATGCTTTCTCAGTTTACGTGAAGAATCAAGTGGGGTTCTTTGGAGATGATCTGGAATCGGTTTTTTTTAGAGGGCAAAGTTGTTGCGGTCTAAGATAGAGATTCTTAACCTATGGGCCGCGGCCCGCCACTTTGAGGACCTCAAAAGAACAACAGTTTTTAACTTTGGGCTGCAGAGGGCCGTGGGACCGCACTGATTTTGAATAAAGTGTAATACACTTTATCACCACTAGTAGCGGTAGTGCGCCACTCAGTTGTTTAACAATTTTTTTTTAATATGTAGAAGAAGAACTGAAAAGCCTGCTGAGAATGGAAACATATTTTAAACGAAAAGTAGAAGCAAAAATGAAAGTAACCCATCAAAAAACACCAAAGTTTGTCACTAATATGAAGAGCAGCTTCTATTTTTAC